TCCCTTTACATAGTCTGCTCATGAGCCATTAAGAAACCCCAGAGCAACAGGATTTTTATTTTTGGAACACCAAGTATTTCAGCTTTCCTTCCCAATAACGTCTGGTGAGGAAGCACTCCTGTTTGATGCAAAAGGAGGTAACGTCTAGCTCAGAGCTACTGCAGAAAGAAATCAGCAGCAGCACCTAAACACTTTTCCTCCCTGCAGCTGCCTGTGACCTGCACGCCTACAAAGACACCTCTTTCCTGTGTGCCAGGTATGGCTGGCATAACCCTACACCAGCAGCTGAAAGCCTGGCAACCTTACAGCCTTACACACTGGGAAAACCACAACATTATGAAGTCACACACAGGCATGCATCAGTACAAGGCACGCAGCAGCCACATGTTACACCCTATTGCACTGGAAACAGCCATTAACTGTGGAAGCATATAATTTTTACTCAATGAACTTTTGCTTATGTACTTGAGCTATTTTAGCTCTTCTTCCAGAAGACATCAAATGAGCCCATCCTTTACTACAGATTTACCTATAGAACACAGACAAGTTACCAAGTGCAAGGCTCACCCCAGCAATGTCTTCATCATAGGAAGGCCAAGGAGAATGAATGGGACTTAAGCTTTTAATACCAATAAAAAGCAAAGTGGACTAAATTTACCTAAAACTTACGTTGCCAAACATAGCCTAAAGGCAAAAATCTACAGTCAAATGCTAATTCTTCCTCACAGGAAGTTAATGAACATCACTGCATTCCAAGAACTAGCTCCTGGACACCAGGAGACTGGTAGATTGTTGCAAGGTTTGTCTTCGCAAATGTACGCATATCACCAACATCTTAAAGAGTAAGGTGACATAAAACAAACAGGTTATTTCAGTTTTATTTAGTTACATTTTTACATGCCTTTTTTTCCCCCTTACCTTCCTCCATCACATGTTACTGGCCTTTGACTGGGGTTTGTGTTCTTGGGAGCACTGCTTAGCACACTGTAGATTACACCTTGATCACAGACAGATATTTACTGAGGAAACTGATCTACCCTCAAAAATTGCACATGTTAGAGGTGTGCAAAAATCCACAAGTGATCAAAACAAGCTCATCTAATTATCTGTGCCATTTCCTGCAGATGTTTTGAAAGGCAGGAAGCTCACAGAGAAGCCAGGCAGCAGCTACACAACATTCATGGCACTATACAAAGCTTGCATTAATACTGCCTACACTAATCAACTCTCCTAACCTCATGGGTATTTTTCCTGAGACACCAATAGAGCCTCAGCCCCCAGAGTCTCTGTTCTCACAAGAGTCCAAGTCAAATACCTTTCTCAGTATCCCATTCCTGGCTAGCAGGCAAAGCATCACACTCCTCAAGGCATTCCATATACTCTGGGTGCAACTATCTTGTTTTACTTCCCTTGGCCAAAAGGGGAGAGGGTCTCTGCAATAGTCTTTTCCAACATCAGGTGAGGGTATAACAGCAATCACCTTCATGGTGCCACTCTGAAGTAACTCTACTAAACTCATGGGATAATCTCGGTATACTAAAGTATTAAGCCAGCTTCAAAAAGCCTCCTTCAAATAGCTCACTGTCCTCCTGAACCTCACTTACACTCAATTTTTTTTTTTTTTTTCAATTTGAAAAACAGACTGCCTACTACACTTAGACACAATTCTACCATCATCATATATAATGTTTTTGGCTCCATAGCCAAGAACAAGAAGAAGACAATGACAAAAAAGACTAAAGTAATTGTGAGCCCTAGAGGAAAAAACATGTAGATAAAATTTACTGATTTTACATTTAATATTAATCTTCATGGCATGGAAGACAAAAAAGCCCTCTGTTAGTATATCCATCCTATAAAATTCACCACTTATGGCAATTAAACAAATTGAACAGTCCGTGTGAGCTGCTGAAAGGGAAGAAAGTGCTGCCTTTAACTTCTCTGAGTACCTTGACAGTGCCAAGCTGTATTTTCACAGAGTTTAGGATATAGACAAGCTCTTGTTAAGACACAGCACTGTATTTTCTCTCAACAGTACTACTTGAAGGAGAAAGAGGGTGCAAAATTTCCCTACGTACTGCAAGCCTGTTAAACAAATGGTATAAAAACCTCCAAAATCGATGTTGGCATAAAACCCCAAAATCAATGTATGCTTGACACAGAAGGAATCAGTTATGCAGCAATTAAATGCACAACACAAGAGGACTATAAAATACCAGATTGATTTAGCAAGTATGGTTGCTTGACACCAAGTACATCAGATAATATAAATAAATCTCATTACATATCTCAAATTCAGAAAGGCTTGTCTGGAACAATGCCTGGAAAGCCTGCAGCATGCACATCACTCTGTAAGATGCCCAGCTGGAGATGGTGGAAAACACTGCACACAGATACCCATGTCAACCAAGATAACACAGATCAACTTACTTTGTTTCAAATCACAAAAGATGAGCAGGATTTTGAAAAGTGACAGAATATAAATAACTAAGTACAGGCCACTCATTTGCAGGAAATGCCCTGCATATGCAAATCAAGGGCAAAGAAAAGATAAAACCAACACCACATACATCTTCCAGGTTTTATTTTCAGGTTGTAAAAGCTATCTCTCTGAAAATGAGCATTTCCTGGGATTTAACAATTGTTGGGTTAATAGCACTAGGCAAAGCCAGTTACACCTAGCCCATAATTTTACCCACATAAAACATACCTCATCTGGTCTCTTCAGGATATTGTCAGCAGAATCAATCTTAAAAAACAACACTGTTTAGAAGTGCTGATAAACCCCTTCCCACACCTAATGTTTCCATGCAGGCTTGCATCAAGGAGCCAGGCTGGATTATTTTGAAATGTACACCCTGCATCTGTGCACAGTCACTGGCAGCAAGTCAGTCACCTCAGCTGAGCATCTTCAGATGGAGCCCTTCTCCTTCTGACCCATTACCTTTTCACACATGTTTTTGGGCTCAGCTTATCTAGATATTCTATGTCTACACAAGCAAAAATTGTGCCATTTGCAAAAAAATCAAACTTTTACATCATCACTGCAGGACTTCTCCAATTCTGCCTTAAGGAAAATTACTCCACCCAAATGAAACATGAGAGCATTGTACCAATATGCTCACACTAGCTGTGCACACATACACAGTCCCTGTCTTCTAGGGGAGATCTTTAACTTGTCTAAATCCTTCCCATCCCTCTGTTCTGTACTGATATCAAAAAGGGTTTCAAACCACCCTGTGGAGGGAACAGCCACTAGCGAAACACTGCAGACTCCCTCACAAATCCACCAGAAGGCCAGCCCAGCCAGACCCAGGACAGATTATCCATGGAGGATTGCCACCATCAATCTTCAGAGAGCCCACTCTCACTAACAGCACTGCTATATTAGCAGACATGCTTTTAGAAGCACAAGGATGAGCTTCTCATCAGCTTCTTACTGCCACGGAAAGGCTAAAGAGGCTAACTATGAACACTTCTTCCCTCTTCTTCTTGATTTGCATGACATTTTTTAACAGCTCTGTCTGATGCAAGCATTTAACATGAGACATAAACATATTTTCACCACCATCCTTTCCCCATTGTCACAAATAGATGTGGTGAAGAGGCACTATATTCTGTATTACATCACAGGCAGAGTCATATTTCACTATATACTTAGGTTTCAAGCTTATCTCTGATGCTGTGCAGATTATGTTTAGGCTGAGAGCAGATTACTGGCATAAACCAAAACATTACCTAGGCTGTACACACATTCCCTCTAGAAAACTTACAGAGCACTTTGGACTAGGGATCAGAAGTTAGTTTCTTAAGGAATCCTTAAAAGCATCTGAGAAACAACACTTGTTTGCTCTGGCCAAGAAGAGACAGAATGAAAAATACCTCCTAAATTTCAGTTACATGTCCCAACATGTACCAAAAGATGCCACTGCATCCAATCCAATGCGTCTGGCATCAACAGAGAGTTGGGTTTTCTTACTTAATGATTCAAAAAATAAATACACACACATAGCCACCAAGATATCTATTAAATTGAAGTGTACAAGTACCACCCAGGAGCATCCAAAGAATCTCATAATATTTAAGTAATCATTCCTAATGAGGCCTTCTTAAAACTTGAAACTTTGCACTCAAGGTAGCAGTTACAGAAAACAAGGACATCAGGCAGGCACTGAAAAAAGAGAGGTAGCAAAGAAGCTTAATGCCTTATCAAAGCTAGAGGGTTCTGAGGGGAAGAGGGTGTAGTCAGAAGAATTATCCCTATCTTGATTAGCATCAGAACAAAGGCTCACATTAGTTTGTCTGCACTAGGACTCCCCTAGAGCCAGGATAATAACCTTCTTGAAAGCATTACAGGGATTTCTTCCCCACTTCACCCCCTGCAATCTACACCCCTTCTCTAAATGGGGATAAAAGGATGAAGTCCAAATAACAGCTTTATGTTTAATTCTCTGAAAGACATATTTGGGTAGCTTCTCACAACTAAAACATCAAATAACCAATACACAAGTAAAATCCTTCTGTGGTAAGTTTTGTTTGGGAGCAGGTAAGGGAAAAAATCAAAGCAAAACCAAACCTATTTTTTCTTCAAGAGAAAAGGTCAGATAGCACAGGTGACTTATCATGCATGATTAACTCTGGAAGGCAGGAAGAACTTCAGTAGTTTCTTCAGCAAAATCAGGGAGCGGTAAGGGAGTGAAGAATACAAGTTAAACACAGCTTGTGGTATCTGAACACCACAAAAACCAGATTAACAGGAGTCAAGAAAAATGCTAAGGCATGGCTACAAATGAGTCAGAACCTAAGAACATTTTAGAATACTTCCTGTTTCAAAAGCTAGACGTGCTAATACAAGTGGCTGTCTCACTGCAGGATGAGAACATGGAAGGCAGCACATTCTGCCTCCAGTTTAAAGAAGAATTATGGCATTTGGACAAAATGCAATTCTTAAAAGCAAAAACACAGGAAAAACAAAGTAATAGCATCAGCTTTCATCTTACCTGGTATTGACACAGGCTGGCATACAACAGGTTGTCAAGTTAGCAAGATTAAACTGATGATTCAGTGATGATAAGTTGATTCACACACCTAGAACTGCACAAAAAAAAGTAGGTATTAGCCCTGTAAGTACTAAGAATGGCACTATGTCACATAAAAGAGCAGGAGGCTTGAGGAGTAGAAGTAGTTTTATTATGTTTTTAGGACAAAGGCACACAGCTATGCTTCAGGTACAGACGTTACTCACAGAATTCAGATCTGGATCTGAGATATACTACACAAGTTACTCAAAATCAAAGAATATGCAAACTATCCTCACACATTCCATTTAAAAATCTCAAGGATAAGAAGAGAACAGTTTCAAGTGTAGCAGAGTGTTACCAAAAACATTTTTCAGCAGCACTCAAATTTGCTTGATGGAGTTTTTTTCAGCGGGACAGAAATGTCCCAAAAGTTATCCCAAAATACACATATTAAAACTGCATCAAGTCCAGCCATCAGATACACACATGCACTTTCAGTTATTGCAAATACTGCATACTTTCCAGATAAGCATAACAGAAATTTATTTCTACAGTGCCAAAATTCACAGGTATGTTTCATTGTTTCATCACTGTATATACCCTTTTTATTCAGTATTACTACTAAAAATTCCAATACTTAAAAAGATGGTTATTAATAAGACAACCTTCTCCACTTTGGGAAGCACAACAACAAACAGAACTGGGAAAACTGGTCATCCAAGTGAGAGCAAAAGCTATGCAGCTAAAAGGAATTTTTGTCCAGCCTGCTTAAAGATATCCTTTGTTGCTAAACATTTCATTGTCACATTTAAATGTCAACTTTTTAAGTTGCAGAAGTGTGCATGCCCTGCAAGACAGGAAACCACAAACAGACTTGAGATGAAGGTTCTCACAGCTAATGAAATGAAAGTAAACCTAGCAAACTGCTCTTCACATCTGATATGCTTACGAAAAGACACAAACCCTGACCTTAGAACCTTGCTCCCCATACCCATGAAATTATTTTTAATTAATCTCTGTTAGCAAGTTTGTAAGGTTTGGTAGTCTACTCATATACCAGGGCAAAGCACAAAATGAGTCTCCAGCACGCTTTTGGTGCACATCACAGAAGGAGTCCGCAGCATTTCAGGATCATGCGGCTCACTGCAATAGTGCTTTAGCTTATAAAGACAAACTACTCAATTTTCCTTAGGGGAAAACAGGACCCTCCCTTTCCTGAAGCAAGCAGCATGCCCTTTTTGGACTTTGAAAAGGAGTGAGGGGCCCTTTGAGAGAAGCTGGCTTTAAAGCTTTCAGGATGATCGCACATATGGCCACTGGCTCACCAGTGGCATATGTGACGGCAGATGGAGAAGTGAAGCTTTCATACCCTCTGAGCAATGCTCTGCAATTCTGACACTCCTCTTGAAAAGCAGATATGTCAATCACCCTCCCATGCTGGTGTTTTGGCACAGAAGAGATTCTCCTCAAGTCTGCGCATCAACACCAAAGGATAACCTATACAGGGTATTTTAGAGGCAGTTTCTGTCCTAGCTTTCAAACATAATGAATCCATACACATCAGAGAATGATAACTTACTATTGTCTTCACTGAACATCAGCTGGCTTTCAGCTCATTAGAGAGCAACACATACCCAGTATGCACTTCCCTTTAAGGGAGGGGTGGGGGGAGGTGTTTTAATTAACATTAGAGAACCTGGGTCTAACAATAAAATGCCTTTTGAGAGTGGTTAGCACAAATGGGCTCCAATACCCAAAGGGGATCAATAAAACTATATTAGTGGGAGCTGCTCTAATATATTGTCCTTGAAGACTTTTAAGAAGTTATTTACAGAGAAAAGAAAACCCAAAGAGCATAAATAGGTTGAAGACATTCAAGCCTTTCAGTAATCTATGGGTTTAACACTACACATACAAACTACAGCTCCTGTCAAAGCAAGCAGCCTTTAACAGCTATTGTTAAAAATCACATTGCAAGTCTAGCTATTGAAAGATAAGCATTTTTATAGAAAGTAAGAACATCATTCTCAAGCTCACTTATAGGAATTGAGGGGTTGGGAAGGATGTTGTTTGGTTTTGGTTTGCTTGCTCATTTTTTTAAAGACCAATTTATCAGCACAGTTTCCCTCTTAAAACTTATGTACCCCTAAAAGTCCAGCAGAAAGAGATCTAATATACCAACGTAACTTCTTTTCTATCTTCATCACCAAACCAGCTGCAAATTTGGTTTTGATCAGAAATTCTTGCAATTCCCACTCATTTTACTACAAAATCCCATTAAAGCAATGCAAGGAAAAAACAGGAACAGCAGTGAAGCACAGCAATATTATAAACTATGAGGAAAATTAGTTGAGGAAAAATGTAAATGGCTTTGAAGTTTTCCAAATGGTCCTGGCAATTCTGAAGTGTAAGCTAAGGGAGCTATGAACAGAGACACAGTATTGAAGCTTGTTCACTTCTGATCATGAGGTTAAAATGATGCACATTTCAGCCCCGCAAAGTTCAATTGCCTACAATGAAGCTACTCCTATGGCAAGTGTACACTGTAAAAATGAAAGCCATTGTATTATGTAGCACAAATATGACTGATGTTTTATTTACCACAAGAAAGTGATTCCAGTGGCCAATTTCCCTTGACTCTGCTCAACCAGTTCCAAAAGCTGTACTTTGCCTTGTTACAAGGTTACCACAGCAGTGATGACCAACCCATTCCACTCAACACTCACTTATATTTACTGCTGGTTGGCTGGTTGCCATGCTAGCAGTTCCCCTCAGGGAATCACCAGAGTGACATGAGACACATAGATCCCTTGTGCTGCAGGGAAAGTTCTCCATGTACACTCTACTTTTGGAGCCTGCCCACTGTTCAACACAGAAGCTGGGGAACAACTGAGACAGTGGGAAAGACGTAGGGGTTTTACACCTCTAACTCCTCGTCCTGCAGCTCTTCAGTGTGAGCTTCCTCAAAAAACTGTCTGGAATTACCACACAAATATTTAAAATAAATAAATAAGCAAGCAAACAGGCCAGGCTTTCACTGATCTCTTATTAGCATCACTACACTTAGTCTGAAAACAGACTTTGCAGACTGCATCATGTAGTAAGCCACGTGAGAGCACTAAGCTTCCAGTGAGTGAGTAGCAGCTGCCCCTGCTCAGTAACAAAATAGCCAGCATACGAATGGCAGATGAAAATTTTTTCTGGTACATACAGAAGTTCACTTCCTGACACTTATAAGAAGTATTTCTACTGATTAAAGTAAAAATCAATTTTTGCAGCTGCATAAACTTCTAAAAGACTTCTAGCAGAGTCAGGGAAAATACCATCTCTATTAACTACAGACCAGCAAAGTCAGATAAATTACACAGATGGGCTTAAAAAGACACAGAATGCTTCACTGGAATAATCTACCTGTTCCCAACTGCAACACTCTGTGTTGGAGGTCAAATTGTTACATCTGAAATCATTCTATTTGTACCCAGAGTAACTTAATGACAAGAAATTAAACATGAATGATGGCATTTCTAAGGACACGACACTTGTCATGAAACTAGATATAATTACAGACTACTGTATTTTGGCAGAGGAAATCTACTGTAAGTAATACCACAATACCTTTGGTATATATGGGTTAATTTTTCCCATTCCCTGTTCTAGGAAATGCCTTCATGTTTCTATTTACATATTCCTAAAGCAAAATTCAATCCCTGCCTCTCCTCCCTCCTTCCCAGTCTTTCAGGCAAACAGATTGTGGGACCAACCCTGCCAGTGAAAGATGCCTCTCCCAGCTAAGCCTGATCAGCTGGGATCAGCTGGTTACAGCAGCCAACAAGTGGCTCAGAGGGGAGAGGAGCTGCAGGGAGTCCCTGTATCAAGCAGAATGCAAAAAAGGACACAGTCCAGGAAACTTTGGAGCAAGGTTTCCAAGCTACTGTCCTTTCATGCAGTTGTTCATAGATAATAGGCTTCTCCAGAAGTATCTCAGGCAAGCAAAAAGAGATGCAACTTTTAAAAGGGAAAAAAAATTACAACAGCAGTGGCCTGACACAGACCCCCGAGTACAACATCCAACCTTCCTGGACTGACAGAGGCCAGCAAGTTACATCTGTTTGCTCACAAAAGCAAAACAAGCAAGAGGCGTATTTGGGCAGCACAGCAGTAGGTGGCTGTGGTGTGAGCAAGTGCATCGATAAAAAGCAGAAGTGACACAACAGGAACAGTCACAGAAACCCAAATCTACAGTTAGGATGCTGCTGCACAGCTGAGGTTAAGACCATGGCAAGCTGCTCTTGCTGAGAGTCGTAACAATTCTCGAGGCAGGAGCAGCAGAAAACAACCCTGACCCTAAGACAGAACCAATTCCACTGAAACCACTACACTGCAGGCAGGACACACATTTAGTGACTCCAGTTACCATTACTTGCTGACTACCCAGGCAGCTGTGCTCAAGCAGCCATTTCAGTCCACCTTCACATGCTGCACTAAATATAAACTGCTGATAACTCTGTGGAAACTGTTTCAGCAGAGACATGGAGCACTGCACAATTCAAGGACATTGGGTCCCCTTCAAAATCTACAGGTGGTCAATTTGCATGACAAGCAGAGAGAGAAGGGGACAGAGCCAAAGTCTCAGCAACACTTGTGATTGGGAAATTTCTGCCTCGAGATTAGTACTTTCCCAGACCCATACTTCAGAGAGTAATCTGCCTTTACAGAGGATATAGGGGCATCTGGGTTTTGACAATAACTTGTCAAAGAGGAGGTTATGACTCACTTATCATGTGCTACTTTGCGCTACAGTGACCTTCAGTCTTAAAATCTAGTTAAGTTGCAGGTCTTTCAAGCACATCCTTCACCCAGTGGCCCTTAAAGACACATACATTCCTACTTTCAGATGGTACTGTCTTTTCTAGTCATCCATAAAACACTCATTTAAATAACAGGACAAGCCAAAGTAAGAGGGAAGATGAAATTGCAAAAAATAAAAAGTAGTTATTTCTCAAAGTTTTGCTAGGAGAATTACTACCAGAAACAACATGAAAGTTACAAAGACTAAAGTATGATCTGTAAAGCTGCCAGTGCCACAACTGCCCACCAAATTACACAACAGAAAGATTTATTCTCTCTTCATCAATATATACCCCCAAAAAAGGCATGTCATGAAAAGAAGGAGGCAGACTTGCAAAAAGATTTATGGCAGACACCTGAAGAAGAGGTAGATGAAATCAACGATAAACTACAGACACCAGAGAGAGCACCGATCCTTAGAGCACTGGTATTTAATATGTAAATTCCTTCTCTGCTTAGGCGTTTTGCCTCCCTTTGATGTATACAGACAAGTTCAAACTAGAGATGAGAACTGGGAGAGTTCCCTTTGTCCATTATCTCAAGTTTCTTTCTTGTCTAAGTAACAGTTAAGTGCTCTAACTATATCACTTTTGCATCTGTTCAGAGGGGAAAAGAAAAAAAAAAAACACTAAAAAGAGAAGCATAATAAATATTATTAAAAGAGAGAGTCAATGTTTTCCCAGCTCTGATGCAGATGTAAACAGCTATCTGGTGCCTGACAGCTATAGTGCAGCCTAGGAGAAAGACAAGCTGAACAACAGAGGACGGTAAAGATACTCTGGAAAAGATCCAGATGTCTTGAGCTTAGTCCTACTGCATGGGAAATTAAAGAGGTTAAACACTTCCTCTTAGGAACTTTTCTTCCCATTGTTCTGACCAGGACACTTCTGAACGAGCTGCATCGCTCCAGAAACCTCAGGAATTACGGTGACAATAGATTCCTGCCAAGAGAAGCACCATTACATAATAGCTTTTATGGGAACACGCACAAAAAGCCACTAGGAAGCGCAAACAGGCAAGTGCAAGATCTTCTCTGCCCATCAGCTCAGTTTAGCTCTTGACTACTTCAGAATATTTTTAATTTATATATTTACTTTCACTCATCTCCTTCCACTCAAAAAAAAATCTGTGTTACTGTAACTACACTGAGATCCTGTCTATTCCGCACAATAATGTAACCCCCTCGAGAATACGCCCACTTGAAACTACTGTATTTGCATTAATCTCCTTAAAAGAACACTACAAAGCTGAAAAACTGTATCACTATTTCCATTAGCAGATTAGAAATAAGAACAATTTATTATGGTATTTTTTCATCCTTTACCCAATCTTAGAGATATTAGAATAATTATTGCTTGTCGGTTCTGAGAAACCTAGCACGGCTATTTTTGAGTTCCAGGTCTTCCACAGGGGATTTACCACAGATTTGTTTCACGCACATGTAGAGGCTCAGCCTAAGCACTGCACACGTGTAAAGGCAGCTGCTAGGGAAGCTCTGACCTCTGGGCAGTGTTAAGGCACCACAAAGAAGAAAGCAAAGATGAAAACCGAACAAACACAAAGTTTCTCACGTTGAATTGTCCGCAGCAATGCCTCCACTACCACCTTCATCTCAGACACCACTTTCCCTGTGTCTCCCTACGCACCCAAAAGCTCTACGAAAGGAAAAAGAGAAGACCGCGGTGAACGCTCATCCACTGTTACTTAGGGGTTTTAAATCTTAGAGGTTCACCCCGCACCAAGCGAATGCTCACGCCCGAGGACAAACACCCTTTTCAGACCGCTGACCTCAGAGAAAGCCCGGCTCTGCCGTCACCACCGGCCACCCGCCGCGGTGACACGGGGAGCCGCAGGTACCACAGGTGACATTATGTAAGGCAGGCGGCCGGCAGCGCGGCGGGGAAGGACTCCCGCCGCAGCCCCGAGCACCGCGAGCTCCGCGCGGGGCCGCGCCCGGGCAGCGCTCCCCGCGCGGGCCGCCGGGGCAGCGCCGCCGACACCTTCCGGCTCCCGGCCCCCGCCCGGC